AACGGGGAAGATTGGCCGGAGTTGTTTAAACGCTACGAGCGCCTGCGCAAACCGGATGGCGATGCCATTGCTGATTTGGCCATGCGCAATTTCGTTGAAATGCGCGACCTCACCGGAGATAAAGACTTTCTCTTGCAAAAGAAAATTGAAGGACGCTTTGCCGAAAAACACCCAGACAAATGGACTCCGCTCTATTCCTTGGTTACCTTCAGTGCCGATGTACGCTACTCCGAAGCATTGGCTTTGGGTAAAAAGCAGGATAAAATAATGGCTGAAATAATGGCTATGCCAGATATTCATAACCGTTGGGACAGCGATGCCGTGGAACAAAAAATGCTGCAACTGGTGCAGCATTCAAAGTAAAATGAGTTGCAGTAAAATTTAACTCTGCCTGCGGTCTATCTCATCTCTGATGCGGGCCGCTTTCTCGTAATCTTCGTCCTGCACCGCCTTGTCGAGCATGGCGTTGAGGTCGGCAAGAGATTTATCTTTTAGGCTACTGGCGCTTGTAGCGGCCTCGGTAATGCCAGGGTCGCTTTTTCGTTCGGCCTTGGGTGCGCCTTCGGCCTTGCCAGTTTCCTTTAAGATTACTCCGGCCTTATCCAAAATTTCCTTGTAGGTAAAAATTGGTGCCTTAAAGCGAATGGCCAATGCCACAGCATCACTGGTGCGGGCGTCCAGAACCTGCTCTTTGCCGTTGTGTTCGCAAACCAAAACGGAGAAAAACACACCGTCTTGTAATTTGTGAATGACCACTTCTTTCAGCTTAATCTGAAAATTATCCGCAAAGTTTTTGAACAGATCGTGGGTTAACGGCCGAGGCGGATTTACCTCCTTTTCCAGAGCAATGGCAATGCTTTGCGCTTCAAAACCACCAATTATTATGGGCAGCCTGCGCTCGCCATTTTCCTCACCCAAAACCAGGGCATAAGCCCCGGATTGGGTTTGGCTGTATGATAATCCTTTTACAAAGAGCCTGATGTGCTCCATTAATTATTGGCCTTGAAATTCTTAATGGCTTCAGTTAAACGCGGAACTACTTCAAAAGCATCGCCTACTACCCCGTAGTCGGCCGCTTTAAAGAAAGGTGCTTCTTCATCATTGTTAATTACCACAATGGTATTGGAAGCACTTACGCCCGCCAGGTGCTGAATGGCGCCCGAAATGCCTATGGCCACGTACAGGTTGGGCTTAATAGCTATTCCGGTTTGGCCAACGTGCTCTGAATGTGGGCGCCAGTCCATGTCAGAAACAGGCTTGCTGCAAGCGGTGCCAGCGTCAAGAACTTCGGCAAGTTCTTCCAGCATTCCCCAGTTTTCCGGGCCTTTTAAGCCGCGGCCACCAGAAACTACCCGTTCGGCTTCGGGCAGCGGAATTTTACCCTTCACCCGATCAACTTCTTTCACGTTTACGCGCGGTGCATCGCCCGTGGAGGCAGATCCGTCAACAACTTCTGCTGAGCCTTCGCCTTCTTCCACCGGCACGCTGTTGGGAACAAATACCACAATGCGCTTATCGGCATCAGCGCTAAGCTCATTAAAGCCTTTGGCAGAAAATACGCTGCGCTTTACGGTGAAGGGCTCGCTTTTTAGCGGAAGGGCGGTTACGTTTGAGAGCAGGGCCGCATCCATATCAACCGCCAGGGCACCGGCCAGCGCTTTGGCATTAAAAGTACCACTCAAAATAATGGTATCGGCTCCATTTTCAGAAGCCACCCCGCTAAGGGCCATGGCGTAGGCGTTGGCGTCAAAGCTGCTAAAGTCATCGCCCGTGAGGCTTATTACTTTTGACAGGCCGTATTTCCCGGCTTGTGCTACATCTTCTTCGGTATTGCCAATAGAAACACCAATGGCTTCGGTGCCGAGCATTTCGGCAGTTTTGGCGGCATAAGTGGCCGCTTCCCAGGTGTTTTTCTTGAATTTACCTTCCCAATTTTCTAAATATACTAGTACAGACATCTCTTCAATTTTTTATATAACCTTGGCTTCTTCGTGCAATAGCTTCACCAGTTCATCCATATTTTCAGGATCAATCATTTTTACATCGCCTTTGGGGGCGGGCTTGGCAAATTCGCCCACTTTGGTTTTCGCCTGGGCTTCTACCGGTTCCTTAACCTCCAGTGGTTTTTTACGCGCTTGCATAATGCCGCGCATATTGGGTATGCGCAAATCCTTTTCTTCAACCAGGCCTTTCTGGCCGCCCACTACAAATGGCATACTTGCGCTAAGCTTTTCTTTTCCGCCATCAATTTCACGGATGAAGTCGGCATTTTCACCATCCAGCTCCATGCCTACGCAGGCATTGATAAAGGGCCATTTTAGCAAGGCAGCTACCATGCCGCCCACCTGACCACCGTTGTAGTCAATTGATTCACGGCCGGCAATAATCATATCAAAACCGCCCTCCTGGGCCACGGCCGCAATTTGTTTGGCTACAAAAAAGGCATCGGTGGGCTCTGCGTTTACGCGGATGGCCTTATCGGCACCAATGGCCAGGGCCTTGCGCAAAGTAGGCTCAGTTTCACTCGTTCCCACATTCAGTACTGTAATTTCAGCACCTTGCTTTTCTTTTAACCANNNGGATTAATCACAAACTGAACACCCGATTTATCGAACTCCTGGTTGTTGTTTGTGAAATTAATTTTGGTTGTTGTATCCGGTACGTGGCTTATGCAAACTAATACCTTCATCTATTTGAATATGTTAATTGAAATTTTCTTGAAGCTGCGAAAATAGCCATAAAAAGAGCTGTCACAAAATAGCAGCCAATCATCTAAACTGTAATTGATGCCTTATGTTCTCTATTTCCTATTTTTGCCGTCCGCTTGGG